CTTCACAGATGCCTGTGGATGAGATGAAGACACGCTGTGAAAAGGCAGGACAAACAGGATTCCTATAAATCAATCTTTCTACCATATACCACACACTTTGAGAGTTGGCGTTTAGAAAGCATGCACTTAAGATTCTGGAAAGCAATAAAAAACTAAAAGACCTTCCAGGAGCAGAGTAATAAAGGAGAGCTGCTGTAAAGTGCCAGATTATGCTCTAGAGTGTGCTCTTAAAACTCCAAAATTAAACATGTCAGAATGCTTGATGAGATGTTAAATCAAGTTTCTGGCTACATGGTTATTAAAAGATCACACAGTACTATTTGTTAGACTGTGGTGTCACAACTACATTCCACACTATACACAAAACAGTCTGTCCTGAAGGTCAGACTTAACCTCTCAGCACTCGACCTGATCTGGTGGAGTGGAGCTGTAGACACAGGAGAGCTGCCATGTGTCACTCAGGTGGGAACGTTTTTTCTTTATACTTCGCGCGTTCAAGGAAACCTCTCCTCTGCATGTACCCCAAAAAGCCGATTCTTTCGGAACAGCATGAAGACCCATTCCTAAGGGTCAGTATGTGCCACTTCCCCAACTATACTGCCATGAGGACACTGGGTTGTCAACACACAACGGTCACTCCTGACTAACGCCTTCAGCTCACTGCCAGCCAAACCACCCACAAGTATCCGTTACAATACAAAAACATAACTAACAGTAATGTTGCTACAAACAGGACCAAACCCAACCTCCACCTAAAATCTGCTCTGGCCAGGCCACTGAAATGTTTCCTCAGAATATCTTCTCATCAGTAAATTGGATAAACATAAATAAAAGCCAGATCTGTGGATGGGTAAGCATTCATCCTTACAGAAAGGACGCGAGAGGGTAAATTGGGAGGAAACCAGTGTACCCAGAAAGAGGACACCCAAACAACATGCAAGCTCCACATAGAATGCACCCCTGCCTGCACTGACCCTTATCCTGGACATCCTGTAGTGTTAAACCAAAATACATCTGGACTTGACTGTAGTCCAATGTAGGTCCAAGATAATGCCCATCATACACTCTTTTTAGCTTTGCCCAGAAATGCAGGAAGAAGTTACATAAAGGGCAGTTTAAATTGAGTACCATGTTCATGAAACCTTTATAAATGTTTCCAGCCGTTTTAATCATAAGACCAGAATTGCCTGAAGCCAGAAAGCAGCTTTTGTATCTTTTAGACTTTACTGCTGCAGTCCTGTAATGGGACTCCT